TGCAGCAGTGGAGCACCCTGCCTGGTTTTTGCAGTGGTCCTACACTGGAAACACGGCCAGCCTCACACAGCAGCACTCACTGCTACTTGGGAAAGAAATACCCATGTTAAAAGGTGTGTGAGCACTAACACCTCCCTCTCTTCGAGCTGTACAACGGTGACTGGAAGAACAACCTAAGGAAATTACACCCAAGACTGCAAGAACAGGCGATGCTCAATGAGCACCTTTCAATGGGGATGCTGGGCACGGCCCTGCAGCAGGCTGGGTGGCCGGATCCCAGCTCTAAGGGCAGCCCACAGTTCAGTTACTGCTGGTGAAAGGCGCAGAGATGCCATGCTCCAGCCTGGGCAACCACCACAGAGCATCAACACCCTGTCAGCAAACCTGATGTGGATTCAACGCTCTCCATACAGAGATTCCCATCACCAGAAACACATCCCTGTGAGGGGCTCGCAGCCCAGCCTGATGGAAAGTGGATCAAGGCCAAAGCACTCTGTAAGTGAAACCCTCTGCACCATGTGGGCTCTCTGTCAAGTCTTCTCCATGAAGGCTTAGGCAGGGACCCTGCCTGCAGTGATGCTCGTTCCTGCCTGCACCAGGGGCACACGGCAGCCCTGCCTTAACTCTGACACAGACGGTCCCAGCACAGAGAGGTGCAGAGACCCTCCCATAACCAAACCAATACCCCCAGGTGTCAGCACCTCTGCTGTAAACCCTCCGCAGGCAGCCAAGAGCAGCAGCAGAAGAATGGAGGCTGGACCGTGCGTGTTGGCAGGCGCAGGGGAAGTCCCTGCCACAGCGTTCCTCCTCCACGAAAGCCGAAGTGGCAAAGCAGCTTATGCTGCTCACTGCAAAGAGAGGCATCTCCTAGAGCTCTTTGCTGGACAAAACCTCTGCTAAAGAAATGATAAGAAGAAAAAAGAAGTTAGCTCCTGATTGTCCCCCCCCCCGGGGGAGGATTCAGCAGCACAGCTTAGCAGTGGTTCAGCAGCAAGGGGAGCTGCACCCAGGCACTTGTCGCTGTGGAGAGACCATCACTGGGAAAGCTGGCTGCAAGGCCAGACTGGTTATAATGGTTTCAATGGCCACACTGGACCTTTCTGCTGCTTGTGTGCAGGTGTTGGGTGATGAGAGCATATTTAGCAGGACCTTGGCTGCCTTCCGGGGGAACAATCATCACCAGAAACTGCATTTTCAGACACATTCGGGTGATTCCTCACTCCCTCGAGTGTTTTACTTCCAAGAAACATTGCATTAGGCTCGCCCCAGCAGAGTGCTGCTATTTGTCACCGAGAGGCTCCAGGCACCTTGTTTGGCTATAACACGGCTGAAGCAAAGTCCCATTTATTCCTGCCAAAAATACCTCAACCTAAGAGACGAGGCAAGGCTGCGGGAGGTGGGAATGTGCAGCCTGAAGGAGAGAAAGGAAGGGATTAATTGCTGCCCTTGGCTACCTGACGGGTGAGGTGTAGTCAGCCTCCTCTCGGATGCATGCAGGAAAAGGACAAGAGGGAACAGTAAAAGGAAAACAGGTACAAGATGAAGGGAACCATCATTCATCCTGAGAGTGATCAAGCCCTGAAGCAGAGAAGCTGCGACATCTCCAGCCTGGGAGATGCTCAAACCTCAGAAGGGCTGGTCCTGAGCCAGCGGAGCCAGCTTTAAAGTTAGTCCAGCTTTGGGGTCAGATCAGAGCCCTCCCGAGGTCCTCTCCAACCCCAGCTCTTCTGCAATGCTCATTTCCTGCCCCAAACCTCACAGTTCAGGTTTCGGCCGTCGGAACTCAGCAAACGCGACTCAAAGAGACAAGGGTGAAACATGAGGCAGAGGGGGGACACACAGCACTGCCAGCCCCTCGCCCTCCCAGGGTCTAGGGCAGTGCTTCAACATACATTACAGCATACACTGTTTGTAATCCCTTCAGAGTATCAGTGTGCCCCGGCACAGGCAGTGGACACGGTTTCCTCCACTTCCAGCAGAGCTGCATCAACAGGACACGATTATCTTGTAAAAATGTTTGTGTTTTTAAACCCGCATCTCCTGCATTACAGAGAGATCATCACCCCCCATGAAACGGGATCCAAACACATATTTACATGTGCTCGTGCCTGCCAGCAGCTTCCTCCCAAACCCAGGGCCGCCCGATGGAGAGCCCAGCGCAGCACTTGGCTGCTCTGTGAGTCTGGTCCCTATCGAATTCCAGCGCCCCAGCACAAGCCCTACAGGACCAACCTGCTTCAGGAAGAGCCCATTCGGGAAGGACTCAACCTTTCATGGCTTGCACCAGCCCCATGATTGCTGTGTGCCAGGGCAGTTGTGGTACCCAGGCAGGAGGTCTGATGGTAGAGCCTGCCCTCCCCGGGATGCTGCCCTGGTTGCATCCCCTTCTCAGAGCAGCCCCTGATGTACAGAAGTAGCTCCGAGCACCTTCAATGGGAGCCAGTTCTACGTGAGCAGACAGGGCTGGTCCCACCCTGCCCACAGCTCTCTACCCACAGGAAAATGCCCCCAGGGGCAGCCCTGAACTCCCCTTTTTTGCCTCCAAAAGTGGAATAATACATGGCTGTGAAGTGGTTTCTCTTCAGAGAACTCAAATCCTTTCCTTCTGTTTTGACTGAGAACCCCTAAAAACTTTGAGATGCTGCAATGACTAAGAGGCAGAGTAGGGAGATAAATAAAGTAAGTGAGAATAAACTTCACTGGCTTCAGTCATCGAGAGAATTCATTTGCATCCCTGAGAACATCCTGTATCTCAGCATCTTCTTCCACCATCACCTGGCAATTTCACTCCCAACTCCCAGTGACAATTGTTGCTGCTAACTTGATAACGTCACTTCTGTCTGGCTTTGGAGGAGACGAAGCATCTCAAGCACTATTCATCATTTCCTAAGCAATCTTCCTGCCTTTGTTGCTTGCATATGCAGTGAAAGAGAAGTGCACAGATCTTAGTCTTAATTGCCAAGTCAATTGTTGGGAAGCGGCACACGGAGCACGAGGAAAGCCTGGCAGTCGGGAATTCAGGCACTGCCAGTGCCTCTGCCCACTGCCAGAGCAGTGTAAAAGTGCTTCATCAACCCCTCTACCTCTCAGACTGCAGCACAACGCTTGAGATCCCAATGAAACCCAGGGAATTGGGTTATTTTATGAAGCCCGGAGGCATCCTGGAGTGCTCTGCACACTTGGCATGCTGACAAGAGTCCACTAAACCACTGCAGCTATGTGACTCCTGGAATTGCTGTCCCCTGCCCTCCCCAGTCCAATGATGCCTTGCAGCATCCCTCCTTTGTGCCATGCTCTCCACCAAGGGGTAAGGAGGGTCAGCCCTGGGATGAAGGTTTGGCTCCCTGGGCAGGAACCCACTCAGCCCCTCTTACAAGTTTAATCACAGCTGGTTAGCGGTGGTTGGGATGAGTTTGGAAGTCTCCCAGCTGCAAGTATGAGTCCTTTTCTAGCCCCGGTGCATCTGTATTTGAACACTGGCACTGTTATGAGGGGAACATCAACAGCACCTGAAAGGGCACAGAGGGGAAGCAAAGGCTGTGCCAACAGTAGTATTTAGGACATGCCTTCAGAGATAGAGGTACCCCCAGGACAAGTCCATCTTTGATGTCTTTTTGAAGCAATGCAAGCAAGACACAAACCCAGCGCACAAGCAGCCTCATCAACACCGGGAGAAGACTCAGATCCCTTGTCAAAACGTGCTAAGACCACACAAGCTTCAGGGATTTAGCTCCAACGCACCCACACGATGCCCATTTGCAGCTTTCCACACGTGTTAAGCCTTTGCCTCACGAAGTCAGAAGACAATGACACACAGGATCCAAGCATCTGCTCACCAGAGAACCGGCATCAGTGCCATCTGGAGAGCTGACACCCCGCACACCAGAGCAAGACATCGTGCACTCCTGTTCTGCAAGTACACCAGGACTCTGCCTCCCAGACCGGGAGGCTAAAGCATGTACCTGGCACAGGGGTGGTCACCACACCAATGCTCCTGCCACGCTCCTGTGACACACAGCTCCCTCCTTGGCTTCCCCAGTGGGGACCACACCACTAATCCTAGTTGCCATCTTCCCCCCATCCCACCGGTGAGATGACGCCAAGAGAGTGAAGCTGGGGCGCTAATTCCTTCCAATCTGACGCCAAATGAGTAGAATTCACCGTGAACAGAAGCCTTCCTACAGTGCTCATTTGCACTGGAAACCAGAGCTAGAAACAGCTCCAAATTACATCCTAGAAGATATACAGTACACAATCACAGGGGAGGCAGTTTTTGCCAAGAAGGAAGACAGCACAGGAGGGTGGAAAGGCAGAATAGATGGGGGGAGAGAGAAAACAGAAAATGGAATGAAGAGAACAAGAACTGAATTACTGACATATATACATCCTCATCACAACTAGGGGATTTGTCATCTTCTGAAGCACTGCAATCCAAGTGCAATGTACAGTATTTTCATCCTCCTGAGAACCAGCTCGTTGCTTCCCGTACACATCAGCTGTGTGCCTGCAGGAAGAGGCTGCACCATTCTGTGTGGCAGCGTCTATTTTTTGTGCAGTTACAAATAAATAATCCCTCAGATTGGGGACCAGGCATCTCCTCTGCCATGCAAACATGGTGCTTCTGTACAGTGCATGCTGTGGCGTTAGCAGTGTAAATAAGGCTTCAGTCATCCTGCACAGATAAGGTGCAATGCAAGTTAACAGTGTGGTGTGGCAGCCCCACAGTCTCAGGGCTGCCATTCAGACATGCTTTGGGCATATAAAAAGCCAAGAAGCACTTATAAACAATTTAAAGGAACTGGCTTTCTCCTGCTCCAGCCACCTATTTCATAATGCAACTTTGGAGCTGCTGTGGCTCTTTAACACTGCTACCAGGAGGATCTGATCCACCACCCCTCCAGCCCATGGTGGCACTAATCCTTTCCCTCTCATTTAAAAGATAAAAGGTGCTGCCTCCCCCCCCCCACAAAGCCCCACGCACCACTGCAGTCCTGCAATACCTTTGTCCGACATCACTCCCCATGGATCCCATCCTTCGAGCCGGCAACAAGGGGCTCACCCCATGGACATCTTCTGTCGTCGCTGGTGGGACAGTTTTTACATGGGAATTGCTCTCAGAGGGGGAATTCTTCAGCTTGGCTCTTGCCATCCTGCGAGCTCTGGCTGCCTCTGTGACTTCCTCCTCTTTCCCCCCTGAACTCTCTCATACATAGCAATCCTCACCGCAACCAGTTCAGAGCTGTCGGCACGTACCATCTCCTTTCTTCTCTCTCCCCAGTCACGGCTGCTCAGTGGAACAATCCTGCCCTGTGCATTTATTTTGGTGGTGAGGGGAGTCGAGGCAAACTCTCTGGCCTTGCTGCTGCAGCGGATTTGGTGCAAAAGGACCGAGAAGGCATCCACAATGCAGAGAGCCCTGAAATGGCTGTTCATTAAATAACGTAATTGCCTTGGCTGCCTCCTTTAAGAAGAGGATTGCATTGCTCTTATCACCACGAGCAGGGCAGGGGCTGAGGGATTATTTTTTCCCCATCCCTGGTTTTAAGTAGCAACGTGAGGGGGAGGAAGCTATTTTATCTTATTCCTCTGTGTGAAGAGCGGTGCGTGGACTGCATGCCAGGGAACAGACTCAGCACGCTTGGCTCGCAGACACAAAGCAGCAGAGCAAGGTCCCCTCCTAAACGCGCCCGCTGCGAACTGAGCAAAGAACAACTTGCTGCTGCTTCCCTCTGAGCGGCCCCAGGGGCTCAATCACTGCTCCCCTGGCCAGGCTAAACAGTGCCCAGAGAGGGGCACGCACCATGTCCCAGAACAACCTGGTGTTCCCTTCTTCAGGTGAGAACAAAGCCTGCCGCTCCTTGAGTGCGCTTGGCACTGAGTCCTTAAGATGTCAGGCAGAAAAGAGGATCCACAGTGGCCAGGGGAGTCCTGCACAAGGGATAGACCTGTGAGGGTCCCAGCGTGCAGGTGGGACTGCAAAGGGGTGGTCGTGCATCCTGCCCTCTTTTGGGGATGCCACTAGTCTATACCTGCTCCTGCTTATGCTCGATGGCAGCCTTCAACAACGAGCATCTTCAAGGGGATCACGAGCGTGCACAGCATCCCATGACATGCCAATACCACCCCATGACATGCCAATACCACCCCATGACATGCCAATACCACCCCATGACAGTAAGGGTACTAAGATCAGTACCTAACCATGACTTGCCCCTTGGCACGAAGGCAATCAATCCCTGGCTGCTCCTGGAAGAGAAACCAAGTCCCTGTTTCCTGTTAACAAAATCCTTCTTTCCCTACTCGGAGCATTATTTCTTAATGGGATTTCACCGTAAGATATACTTTATTTCAGCATTTTGAAATATAAAATGGATAAAAACCCACAGCCTATTTACTAATGTGCCAGCTTTCAGCATACATTTAATTTCTCCTTTTGCCTTAAAATGATTCATTAGCTCAATGCCTTCATTTACTAAGAGAGTCATTCCTTTCTGCTTCATGGCTTGTTTCAGCTTCATCTTCAACCTATTGCTCTACATCTGTTCACTTCAGGGTGTTGTTCTCAAGCCCCAAATGTGATTACTGCTGTTATTAACCCTCTGGCTGGGACTTTGCCCAGCTCAGGGTCTGACAAATCCTCCTGCAAAACAGGAGCCACTGAGACTGGGGCAATCAGGTCTCTCTTTTAGGGATCTATATGCAAATTCTACCCTGCATTGTATTCCTCGTTCCAGAAGAATTCCTATTTCAGGATTGACATTAGCTAGGAAAAGATCAGATACAAAAATGATACTCTCAGCATTAAGGCCATCAAGCAGCAGCACTTTTAGGGAAATACCCGGGGAATCTTAACACAAAATGAATACTCCTCTGTCACACTTTCGCTGCATAGAAGGTGACAAAAGCCATATCAAAGAACCCCTTGAGAAACACGGTTCCCACCTGTGGGAACCTTCTGTTCAGCATTTAAACACAAACCAAGACAGGAAAACCAGGAGAGGGGAGCAATCCAATGCAGGGTCACCCAAAGACCCACAGCCCCAGCAGCATCTCTCCTCCCAAGCCACCTCCCAGGCAGTGACCAAGAGCTGCTGTGCCGCTCAAAGCAGGTGAAGGAGAAGGAGTAAAGCAGGAGCTTGGAGCAAAGGCAGCTTGGAGCTGCCTGGGTCACTGAGCCATCAGCAGTGCGGGAGGAGCCCCCTGGTCCTCTTGTCTGGGAGGTGGGAAGCCAGGGCACTGATGACAAAAGGTAAAGATCACACTGAATGGATGAAGATGCCTTCCTGTAACTCAGAAAGCAAAGGGCTGTTCCATAAGAAGAGATCTATGACTAATGCAGGTCCCCATGTGCTGGTGATGCCCGTTTGTGGCTGCCCTATGCTTACCCTAAATTCCAACAACACACCAGGCACGATGCATCACTCAGTACATCCAGAACGTTCATTGCTGGGAAACAGAATGTTCCTAGAAAGAGCCGTGGCTGCAAAGGTAACCTGAAGCAGAGCTCAGTGAGCCTGCTCTGCAGGGACACACTTCCCATGCCACCCCATGGTACAGGAGGGTCAGCTCCACAGCAAACACCTTGTTCGTACAGCGTGTTCTCCAAGGGAATCCAGAGTGAAAAAGACCCAAACACAATCAGTGTCACACCAAAGACCAAAGAAGGACTTCTCTGGTCCAGAAGCATTCACCCAGCTCACTGAATGCCAACCGGAAGCTGGGAAATCACTGCTTAATTTTAGTTGGAGAGCCCATTACAAAGTGCTGATGTCTCGTTTCAGCGTCTGCATTATGCAGAGACCACTGCTGTGCCGGGGGCTGGAGGAGACTGGGAATTGCTGAGCTGCAATTGCAGTGGTAATCATTTCCCTGAAAATAAGAGTTAGGAACAGGCGGATTTTTCATTAGTCTTAATTGAACCCACTGCAACTGCATTGTTCAATAGTCTGCTTTTATCCAGGTACCTTTCAGACCAACACTCCTTTTAAGCACCTATTCAACTTACTATTAATAAAGCACGACCTAGACCAGTATAACTAGTTGATGAAACAAGAAGGGGTTGGGATTTTCCACATTATTCTGGCAAACCAATCTGTTCTGTTGAGATACAACCCGAAAGTGTTAGCGTGCAAAGCCTTCTGCAAGAACAGACAGTTAAATAGATGTCAAAATCTTCAAAAGTCACCCTGAAAGGCATCAACTACATAGATAAAGATAATTCCATCACCACAAAAGGTAACTCAAATAGGAGAGCACGTTTTGCTAGCAAACATCTGCACTCAACCACATCAGCATCTCACAAGACAATTCACCAGCCACAGCAGAGCTGTTGCTCTACAGGAGGGGCTGCAGTCATACAAATACAGTGATAATTTAAGGGACTCAGAGCTCCAAAGTCATTAAGGCTCATTATTCCCTCTCTAATGAACCCCCAGGTTCTATGGACCCATTGAGCAGCTCTGGGAAAATGGCCTTTCCATCCAGACTGACACCAAGCTCCAGGGATCAGCACCCTCCACTGCTCCTCATCAGGCTGGTTTGTGCTTGCACTGCCTTTACAGGGCAATCCTGACCTCCCTTCATTTAACAACCACAAGGACGAGCGAGGTCCCACGCAATTTTATTACCACCACAGTCACTTCCTATATGTCAAGACCCCAACAGCTGTAATAGCACGACATTAATGGCTTAATGAACCCTCGAGCACTGCTAATACCATAACAAATGCGACAAACCTCTTCGGCCCAGCCATTTGCTGAAGCGTTTTTCACTAAGTTTGCCCTTTGCTGGCTGGGGAATGCCCTACATTGTCACCATGCATTCTGCTAAGGAGCTTTTCAGAAGCTGCCAAGGCTTTTGAGGTTGCCAAGGCTCACGCACAGCCCTGCAAAAACAACTCCACGCTCCTCCGCACGGCTTCTGCAACCAGGCTAGCACCAAGCTGCGTAAAGCAGAGCTGTTCAAGCACCATTACAAGCACCCTCTTCAACAGAGCTGGCTGGGAACAGCAGTGTTTTGGGGGAAATGTAATCATTTCATTCAATTTCTGTTTAATAATTGTTCTCTTTTCCAATGCGACACTAACATCGCAGAAGGCAGAGCTCCTGCTTCCTCAATAGAATATTTTTTCCCTCTGACATTTGTTTCAGTTAAAATAACAGATTTGCAAGAAGAAAAAAAAAATGCAAAAAGAAAATAACGTTGATGATCCACCCTCCGTTTCCATGTAGGACTTGGCCCTTCCATCCCTGTGGGGTGCCAGTGCTGCTCCTCCACATAGGGATGTGGGAGCACAGACCCCTCGCCCGCTCCCTGTGCACAAGAGCAGCCCAAATTACTCTTTTCCTAACAAGACAGGTCCTTCTGCCCATGTTTTTGACTACTGATCAGCAGGTGGAGTTGCAGTTAATGAAAGGGTTGAATCCAAAGAGGTTCAGCTCCTTCTACAGTCAAAAATCCCATAGCAATACATTGATTATTTCGGATTGCAGAGGTTATTAGAATATACAGGAGATGCTTGGGAATCCTCTCTGGGCAGCAAGGATGTGTGTACTTATTAATAGAAGTGCCTAGAAAATACTGTTTGTATTGATCCAGAGTCAATTTAAAAACCTGATCTCCGTTTTCCTTCCATTAGCCTGGAGGGGAAGGTCTTCTCTGGCCCATGGCCACCAGCACGGCAGCAGGACCTCAGCACTCAGCTGCTGCGGAGACCCAACAGCTCTTTCTCAGAGCTGAGTTGTGCCATGAAAAGCAGGGTTTAAAAGACACGGATGATCAGACCCTTCCTGAGGAGGCTGTGGGAAACGGAGGGAGGGATGGATGGATGGTGACTCCTACCTGCTGTCCACGGAGACGGGCATCCAAGTGACCTGGGGCTTCCCAGAGGCTGCTCCCCATAAGAGAGACGTGGAGCCCTCCGAGCAGCCGGCGCGGTGCTGCCTGCACACTGCTCCACACCACATGAGGGCCAGGCAAGTCCACAGCAGCACTTTGCAATGCCAAGTGCTTGCAAATGTGGCCAGCATCTAAGCTCTTGTAGTGCTCTGGATCTGATGGATCCTGGCTCCTGCCGTCCCCTCCCCTGCAGCGCCTGCGAGCAGGGGCCCTCAGCAACAGCTGCCAAAGACAACGGGAGGATTTCCCAGGGCTTCAGTTTTCTTCCAGGTGAACCCATGTCTTGGCAGCTCCACAAACAGAACCCACGAGGGGCTGTAAGCAGCAGGGCAGCAACACAAGGAAGCATCTCAGTGATTCTCCCACCTGCAGTCACAGCGCAGAGAGGCATTATTCTTCACCATGTGCATTACCATCAAGCCTCTGTTTCCCTGGGCTCAGCACCAGAACATAGCCCTTTTTCCCCTGGAAGCCTGCAGTCTGAAGAGGGCCAAGAAGCAACAGGGGATGTAGAGCAGGACAGAGAAGGAGGGGGGGAAAAAGCCCAACTCGCAGTGATTTTGCCAGAGCTCTTAAGAAGATACGGCCTCTTTCAGTCCCCCAGCTAAGGAACTACAATTATTGCAGTGGAAATGATAATTATTTTACTGGAATTTCTCCATTTCTACATGGAACACACCAAGACCCAGAGGACATTTAGGAACAGGGATAACCTT